GAACGAGGCGCACGAGGGCGCGAGTAAGGGACGACGCACGAGGGCGCTTCTAGCGGAACGGTGGGCCCTTAGGAACTAGCGGTCCTAGGCTCCTAACCTAGGCTCGTAATACCATGTCAAAATGAGAGAAGTTATTACACTAGGAAAAAGGGTTGGGTACAAGTAGGAAACCCTAAACTTACTGTACCCCATAGTATCTACACCACTACAGCCTAAACAAACAGTAGCAGATATAACATTTGACATGTGCAGCCCGAAGCGCGACGCATCAGGCAGACCAGTCCGTGTCTGGTCCAACGCTGGTCCGCCAAGTGGGTCCGTCGGACCAGAACCCCGGACCAGGCGTATACATTCTAGTCGCAGACCAGATCCAGCGGACCCTTCATACGAGACACATCCTAACGAAGCGAGGCGATGGGAGTTACGAGTCATAGGGGGTGTAAGGAATTTTCTCATATTACATACTGGGTCAAACTGTACGCATACAACCCCGGTTTTCGGAAACCCAGGCTCGGTCCGACGACCTCGCCTTCCAACCACCATCGCGTCGCCTACAGGTTTCCCAACCCCGAACCTGCACCCAACCATCTCGCGAATCCGCGACCTCGGCCTAGCTAGCACTGCCATATTAGTCCTAGGCCTCGATGTTTCCTCTGAGGAGAGTCACTCGACAAAGGTAGTGAGCTAGACTACGGAGGTTGGCACGAACTACTAGAGGTGCTTGCGCATACACAGGAGAAATCGGCAAGAGTTTCCACTAGCAAAGTTGGAATTGCAGAATGATTGAACAAGCAATGACAACAATGACTATATCAGGCACCTAGCAACTGCAGCTAGCTTGGTCGACCGCCTGCCAGCATTCCGTAGAGGAGCCGCACCAGCACTGTAGAAAGGCAATCTGCCAACAGAGGTCGACAGCGTGCCAACGCTGCAGCAGAGCGGGTGTCCAGCGTTGCCCCCGTAGAAGACAGCAGTGTGCACGCTCGCAGGTGCGCGCAGACGATTGGCTCGACTTGCCTCGTTGGGCATCCGTCGGCTGTTGTCTGCGCCTGGCAAGCCACATCGACTTTGGGAGCCCGAAGTCGCCTGCGCCATTGTGACCTCGACGATGTTCGCGTGCCTCTGCAGAACTCGTCGAGCAGGTTACCCGGTCGACCTGGTCGACCCCCAGGTGCTCTGGTCGACCCCCAGGTGCCTCCAGTCGACCACCGGGTCCCTCTGGTCGACCACCATGTGCCTCCGGTCGACCACAACTCCGTCGAGCTACCCCCTGGTCGACGCCCCCCTTCCGTCGACCAGAATTGTCAGCGGTTGTCGCCGAGCTCCCCTTGTCGATCGCTGCTCACTTGTCAGGTCGACGGATTGCTCCGTCGACCTCCTGTTCGAACTGCAGGTCGACGGAGACCTCCCGGTCGAGCTGCAGGTCGACGGACTGCTTCGTCGACCTCCCGGTCAAACTGCGCGTCCTGGTCGACGGCCCACCCGTCGCCCAGACCAGTCAGTTGCAGCTGTCGAGCTCCCTGGTGGACAGCAGCACCACAGCGGTCCTCGACTGCTCGACGAAGCCTGTCGAGCAGCTCTCCCACTGTGAATGGTCGGCTGCTACTTCCGTACACCCGACCAAGTCGTCGGCGTTGCCCAACCGAGGGCGGGGCCAACACTCCAGTCTCATAACACTTGGTATCAGAGCTAATTTCCTAGGTTACCCTCGCATTTCCAGGGTAGTTTGTATAAGGGGAGCGATAGACTTGGTGGGCTGTAAGGCGGTCGGCCTGTGAAATAGATACGATTACTTTACTCCGACTACGATAGCGTTTACGCCTTCATCAAAGTCAGCAAAATCGCTAGTCACCCCCTACACGTTAGACAAAGCCTGAGCGCCTGAGTAAGGAAAACGCCGAACTACACCAGGCGCGTCGTGAAGCGCGCCAGGAGTCGCCTGTCGTTGAGTACGCAAGTAGCAGCTCCACGCCAGATGAGTGGGTCTGGAACGAGTTGGAAGGCTCCATGGATGCGGACGATGCGAGGCGGGCACAGCTGCAACAGTCACCGCAACAGTCGCAGGCAGCAATAACTCCGGCGACAACAGCAGCAGCGCCAACAGTCCAAGCAGCAATAACGACTTCGACAACTGTCAAAATCAAGCCGACAAACCCGCCCCCGTTTAACCCAAGTGACAAGTTCGTCACTGTTTCTGCATAGTTGTTTGGTGTGGAGGTGCTTTTTAATGCCGCTATGATTAATGACGATGCCACCCGCATTAATTTTGTAGTATCACTATTAAGGGGACCTGCGCTGGAGTGGTGGCGACGAACGTTGCAAGACGAAGGGACTTCGGCAGGAACAGCACGTGCGAACGACGGGACTTCGACACCTGTCACACAACGAGCAGCTTCGATTTTCGGGACAGCCACGATACGCACATGGAAGGAGTGTGGCGCCGCCCTGCGAACTAGGTTCGAGCACATATCCACCTCGGACTCTGCTCGCATGAAGCTGCGTGCCTGGAAGCAGCTGACTTCGGTCCAACACTACACCAACACATTCTCCAACTTGGCGGACCAAATGGACGACATGAGTGATGCAGAGCGGTTGGATCGCTTCGTGGCGGGCCTGAGATATGAGATACAGTACGAGGTCCGACGCACGCGGCCACGCAGCTTTAACAACGCCGTCCGAGAAGCCGAGTCAACAAATGCACTGATGCAGTGGGCGAGATCGAGCTTCCGGGAGGGCCCTCGATTTCGTGGATCGACTCAGTAGCCCACGTTCAACGGCGTGGATGCGCCAAACCGAGCCATCGGGCCGTGCCTTGCATGCAACCAGCTGGGCCACCTGAGAAAGGACTGCCCGAAGTTTAAGCAGGGGAAGAAGAACGACGGAGAAGGGTCGGGAAAAGATGCGAGTCAGTAGCAGACGGGCGTCCTACTGACGAGACACTGTCGCCCGGCAATCACCATCCACAACGAATCGTGGTACCGATCAGAGCTATCGACCGCACCCGGACGAAAAACGTGGGTGAAGCGTTCTAGCTGACGATGAACGGGGTCTTCAGGGACATGCTGGACAAAAAAGTCATCGTGTATCTCGACGACATTCTGGTGTACAGCACGACGGAAGCGGAACATTTGCGGGATCCGGAGGAAGTGTTCCGCCGACTTCACGCGAACCGATTAATTATGAAGGGCTCTAAGTGCGAGTTCTTAAAATCGGAGTTGGAGTTCCTGGGTCACGTGGTTTCGGGAGACGGCATCAAAATCGACCCCCGCAAAGTGGACGCCATCGCTAAGTGGGAGCCGCCGACTAACATTACCGAGTTGCAAAGTTTTTTGGGCTTCGTTAACTACGTTCGTCATTACCAACATGGCAGGGATTACCAAGCCACTAACCGGCCTGCTGCATAAGGCCAATGAATTTCAGTGGGGGGAGAGAGAGCAGTCCGCCTTCGACACACTCAAAAATATTTTGAGTTCACCCCCGGTTCTCCGCCTCGCCGACCCATCTCGACCGTTCGAAGTCACTACAGTACATGCGCATGCAATCGACACTCAATCCGCGACAAATCCGGTGGCTGGACTCCCTCGAGTCCAACTTTCGGTACACCATCACGTACAAGAAAGGCGCCAACAACATTGCTGACGCCCTCACCCGACCATCCATGCAGAACGCGGCGGTACTAATTGCCCACACCAACCCGATGCTGACGGAACTATTCACCCACGACTACAAGATCGACAGATTTTCCAAGAATCGGCACCAGCAGGCGACTACGCAACACGGCAATTACCACCTAGAAGCTGGTACGAACCGGATTTGGGTGCTTGCCTACCAGCCTTTATGGGAGTTGCTGACACAGGAGGTACATGACTCCAACCTTTCCGGGCATTTCGGCATTGACAAAACACTCAAGCTGCTGCAGCGGAACTACTATTGGCCGGACATGCTAACCGACATGCAGCGCTACGTGACAACGTGCCCGACCTGCCAGGCGATGAAGTCGTCGCGACAAAGGCCAGCGGGACTGCTGCAACCCCTCGAGCCACCCGAACGACCGTGGCAACAGGTGACGATGGATTTCGTCACGGGGCTCCCAGTTGGCGCGAGTGGCAACGACTCGGTGATGGTCGTCGTTGACCGACTGACGAAAATGGCGCATTTCGCACCATGCCGCACGACGATCACAACCGAAGACACAACAAAACTCTTCATCTCAACCGCCGTACGCCTACACGGGTTATCTTCGGCGATCATTAGCGATCGAGATCCGAAATTCACGTCGAATTTGTGGCTGGAAACGTGGGCACAGTATGGCACCCGCCTGCAGTTTTCGTCGTCATACCACCCGCAAACCGACGAACAGACAGAACGGACAAATCAAACGATGGAGCAGCTGATTCGCACCAACTGCCCGGACCTGACCAAGTGGGAGGACTCGCTGCCGATGTTGGAGTTCGCGTACAACAACGCCCCTTCCGCCACGACTAAACAATAGCCCTTTTACTTAAATTATGGGATAGACCCAGTGGTACCCTCGTCAACGCCCTTGGACAACCCGGTACCATGCTCGCAGCAGTTCGTCACGGAACTATAGACGGCCCGCAAGAAGGCAGCTGGCTTTATCCGAAAGGCTAATACTACGGCAAGCCGGAATGCCAACACTGTATATTCGTAACTGCCGTAGCGTGTGCGAAAAGGTGTATTCGTGCAGTCGTCGGCGAACATGCGGATTTGGTGGTAGCCTGCTCGTCTCTCGTCGGATTTGATGATTGTGCGGACGATCTGCTGCCATGCAGGCCCTGCAGGAAGAACCACACCGTATTGGGAGGCGGCGGAACGTCGTGCGCGCATGTCTGGTCACCGTACTGGTCGTACACGCATTCGGGCGATTCCGGGATGAAGTTGGGGTGTAGGGTGATGTTGGAAGCGCCTATCAGGTGCAGAGTGTCCACGTGCCCGTCTGTTGTGCACCCCACGCCGTACGAGCTGCTGCTGCTCGCGTCCTAGCTGCGCAGTATCTCCGCCCACGAGCCGTTTCCGCCGTTCACCAACGTCGTTCCCCCCCCTGCTCCTCCGACTGTTCCCCCCGCTGCTTCCCCCAGGAGCGCATCGTGCACCGCCAGCAGAGCAGCAATCTCCGCAGCGGACGCCTGCACGCCAGGCGCCGGCGCGGGGAGGTACCCCGCACCCACGGCGCCCGCCATGCGCGCGCTGTTGTTGCTCACGCGCAGCACGTCCCAGTCGTAACTCCAAACCTGGCGCGCGTCAAACAGCGGCCCCGATAGCTCATTAAACCGCAGGTCCACGAGCCAGAAGTCGTCGCTGAAAAACGCATCGGGAATACTGCCCGAGAAGTTGTTGTGCGACAGATCCAAGTCCCCGGACGGAAGCACCGTGAAAGCTCGCAGGTTGCCCGAGAGGCTGTTGTGGCTCAGGTCGATCCGGATAAACCTACCCAAGCCGCCCATGGATGGCTTGCGCCCGGACTGCGCATTCGTCGCGAGGAACAGGTCGGTCGGAACGCTCCCCCGGAGGCCCGCGTGCGGCGCGCTTAGTCTCTCTAGCTTCGCGGGCAGCACGCAGCCGTGCAGAGAGGCCCCCTCGTCCGCCTCACCTCCGCCACCCCCGCCGCCGCCGCCGGTGGCGCTGGCGCTGCTTCCGGCGCTCGCGCCGCCCAGGTCGTTGAAGCCCAGCCAGAGCTCGCTCGCCGACAGCAGCGCCTCGCAGAACGGCACGATGAGCGCGTTGCTGTCGAGTCGCACCTCGTTGAGCTCCGTGAGCGACTCGGAGTCGCGCAGTGCCGCGGGCACCGAGCCGGAGAGACGGTTCCACCCCAGGTCGAGTTTCCGCAGCGCCGTCATCTCCGCCAGCGCGGTCGGAATGGCGCCGGACAGGCTGTTGTTGCGCAGGATGAGCGCGGTAATGCTCCGCGAATACGCGCCCGCCTCCCCCAGGAGTTCTCCAGTGATGTTGTTCCTCTCCATGTCCAACCGACTCAGCGCGGGCGCGCGGAGAAGGGAGCGCGGAAGCTCCCCCGAGAGCGCGTTGCCGGACAGGATGACCGTTTCGAGCGACGGAGAGTACGCGTCGGGCCCATCGGGAAGGGACCCCGAAAGGCCTTCATGTTGAAAGTACGAGTGAAGACTAATTATGCTGAGATCCACGTGGCGGAGCGCGGGCAGGCGGAAAAGGCCTGGCGGAATGGGCCCGGTGAAGTTGTTTTCGGGCATTTCGATTTCCGTCAGCTTCTGGAGGTGCGTGACGGAGTCCGGCAAGTCGCCGGCGAGGCACGAGTGGCGGAAAACCAGCGACGAGAGCTCCGCGAGGTCGCCTATGGCGGGCGACAGCGCGCCGGGCGGACAGCTCCCTCCGCTCCCGCCGGGCCCGGGCATGTCCTGGCGGCTCGGGTCGGAAAAAATGCCCGTTATGTGGCCGGCGGGCGTGCACTCGAGCGGGCACCAGAGGCGGCACGACACATTAGCGGGCTTGGGCGCGACGCAGCAGTAGGAGACGTTGTGGCTGTCATCAAACAGCTTGTACTGCGGTATGCCGTCGTGCCAGAAGAACATCCTCTCCGGCAGCGCCGCGTACACCGCGCGCATGGCCTCCCGGTCGACCTCCGCTATCTCCGCGACGCACCCGTCGGGGATCGGCGGCTCGGTGTAGGCCTCCGCCTGGCGGAGGAGCGCGATGAGCGCGAGGAGGGCAATGAGGGAAAGGCGCGCGGGTACGGGGAGGGGGAACGGGAGGGCGCGAGGGAATGAGGCCATAATGCTGTGTGAGAATCTGGAAATGTGCGGATTAGAATGAGAGTTCACGATTGGAGAGGCGGAAGTAGCACTAGAAGTATATAGTCCCTACGGGGGCGACAACTCGAGCACTACCGGCGCTTGTATTACTGGTACCAAACCCGCGCATTGATGCACGGATCTTCTGAGCGAACTGGAGGGAGGTCGAGTATATAATGGAAGAGTAGTACCTGTGACGTTGAGTATAGTAGCGGCATGATCGGGTTTTCTCCCACGTTCGGAACGTTGACTTCGTTGACGGGAGATCAGGATGGTCTAAGGCGGACGAGGCTTGAGCGGAAGTAGATTGGCTGAAGGGATGCGCGCGGAGTACGAGGCGCCTGCTGCGGGAATGGATAGCCATAGTAACAGCGGGTATTGTTACGGCGCGCATGAAGCCGCTAACGACCACAAGGGGAGGCGCGAATAGGGGTGCAACGTCACTACAGTGTGTACCATGATCTGTCTAGTGTTACAATGTCATTAGTGGCAATGACACTACAATGTGTCATTGCCAGTGAGGTGCCCTGAACTGGTGAGTCCAGCTAGGCGAAGGCGAGAATTTCACGACGTCGTTGTGACGACGTCGTGAAACAGGCACCAACGAACCAAGCCAATGCGAAGGCGGAAGACACGGCACGACTTGGGAGAGAAAGCTGTGGAACAGAAGAGTAAAGAGACGGAGGTGGGGGAGGGAACAGAGTCTGGCGAGATCTAGGGATGGAGGAAGGGAGGAATGGTGGCGATGGCACTGGTTGGGTGGGGTAGGGTGGAGGGAGGGACGAATGGGTGAAGGCAGTGAATTCCCGCCGAGACGCATGTCGCATTCCAGGTGCCTTCCCCAGGTTGGGTTATGTTGTAGTCTGTACTGTACTGAACTCGAGAGCTTTGTCTGTTCGTTAGACCCGCAGCATGCGGCAGGATCCTCGTTATTGTCGCCCGAGTCGCAAGCCACACAAGCTATATTATATTGACAACAGTGGAATGTGTATTTGCATGTGCCTCAAATACGTATCAGTTTTGCACAATAAAAAAAAAATATTTTGTGAGCAGAATACAGGACCAAGCTCAGTTGTGGGGACCCTTGTTGAAACAAAAGAGAGTTTTCTACTGCAAGTGCTAAACCCAGGTATGATTTTTAGGGCGGCTATGGGTAAGTCGGGGATAGAGTTCATGGGGCCTTCAAATCGGATCACCAAGGAAAAGCATCTCAATACAGTTTAGTGTGTGTTGCGAAGGTGGTCCGTACTTCTTATTCTGGCCAATTGCAGTGACGGGCCGTGGGGGGAGAAACGGCACCATGGCAAGACAAAGGGAGCGTGCAGCAGATTACAGAGCAGTTTTCTCATACGGTACCCTTCCCTTCCCTTCCCTACCATGCCCATCCCTTCCTTCCCCTCACCTCCCAAACTCTAACTCTGCTGGTAGTGAATGAGGTTGCTGGTGTAATGTGGGAACGCCCAAAACAACAGAGTTAAAGTTTATGTTCACTGTTGATCTAATTAGTCACACTCGCAGGACCTGAGATGTACATAATGAAAAGAATGTTAAAGCGGCAAATCTATGGTGCAGGTACACTATGGAAGATATACCGTAACAGTGGACACCTTGCCTGCAGCCCACAGGCAAGTTCCATTAACACAGAAGCTGCGCAGAGTCCTCCCGCCTCGCCACGCCCTACACCCTCCCCTTCCTGGGCTTGGAAGAGCGCTTCTTGCAGTCAGGCAGGGGTTTCCCACAGAGCTTGGGGTTGTCGGGGCGGAAGCAGGAGGTGGGCAGGTCGGAGAGAGAGGGGGGGACGGAGCCAGAGAGGGAGTTGCCAGCGAGGTGCACTTGCAGGGAGGGGGCAGCAGCACGCAGGCGCGCAGGGATGGTGCCTGACAGCCCGCTCCACGACATGTCCAGCTCCTGCAGGGCCGTCAGCGATGCCAGCCCTGCAGGGATGCTGCCGCTCATGCGGTTGCTCGCAGCCTGCAAGGAGTGCAGAGCGGTGAAGCGCAAGAGCGACGAGGGGAGCGAGCCGGAGAGCTGGTTGGTGGAGACGTTGAGGGAGAGGAGGGAGGAGGCGCAGAAGGAGGAGGAGGGGAGGAGGGAGGAGAGGGGGCCGGAGAAAGCATTGGAGGAGAGGAGGAGAGAGGCGAGGTGCTGCTTGCCCTGGCAGAAGGCAGGCAGGGAGCCTTTGAGCTTGTTGCGTGAGAGGTTGAGGTCGGTGAGCAAGGGGGCAAGAGCTAGCGAGCGCGGCAGCGAGCCTGAGAGCAGGCTGTCGGAGAGATCTAAGCGGGATAGGGCTGTGAGGCCGGAGACGAGAGCATTGGAGATGCTTCCTGTGAGTTTATTTGAAGAGAGGTCCATGTAGGAGAGGTGGTCGACGGAGGAGCTCCGGCTGTTCCCCTGGGGAGGGTCTAGGATGGGGCCAGAGAGTTGGTTGTGGGAGAGGTCGAGCAGTGAGGGGGACGAGGAGAAGATAAAGCTAGAGATGCTCCCAGTGAGCTCATTGTGGCTCAGCCGAACCTCCACCCCGGACCTACGTTACACATTTCCTGAGGCTGTAACTTTTTCGAGAAAAGGGTAAGTCTTTTCTGAAAGAGTGCCACTAAACGCATTGTAGGAGAGGTCCAGATATGTCAGGCTCATGCGCCCGTCACTGTTGCCCAAATCCGGCAGATTTCCAGCCATAGCATTGTGAGACGCGTCCAGACTCTTCAACCCCCTACCTTCCAAATACTGCCACCGGACAATCCCACCAAGCTGGTTCCAGCTCATATTTAGATGCTCCATTGCAGGTGGCACCGGGGGGACTTTCCCAGTGAGCCGGTTGTGGGACAAGTCACATCTTTCCAGGGAGCCATCCAGCTGGGGAATGGTGCCAGACAGCTGGTTGTGCGACAGGTCGAGCGTCTTCATGGAGTACAAATTGACTATGGCAGGAATCGAACCCGTGAGCAGGTTGTGGGAGAGGTCCAGCTCTGCTAGACTTTTTTTTTGCAGGAGTGTGGCAGGGATGGGTCCTGAGAGCTGGTTGTGTGACAGGCGCAGCACTGTGGACTGGAGGCTGTCATCATTCCCAAAGAGGTCCTGCAGCGGGGCACTAATGCGGTTGTGTGAGAGGTCCATGTAATACGCGTTCCAGGAGGCGTTGCCAGGGCCACACTTGAGGCGGTTGTGAGAGACGTTGAGTGTGTGGAATTCTTGGTGGAGAGGGGAGAGCGTGGCTGCATCGCCCAAGAGCTCGTTGCTGCTGATGTCCGGACGGGTCAGCAGCGGAAACACCCCGCGGAGACCCCACAAGACAGGCGCACTGGAGGCAGTAGGGTCGGCAGTACTACCAGCGTCAGCAGCAGCAGCAGGGGGGGGGGAGGCGGCAGAAGGGGGAGCAGGGAAGGCAGCAGCGAGAGCACAGACGTCCCCCTGGAGGGCGTTCCCCTGCAGGTGCATGTCTCGGAGCATCCAGAGCACGCCGAGCTCCCTTGGCAAGCCGCCGTCCAGCCGGTTCTGGTCCAGCGCCAGGCGCGTCAGCCCCGTCAGAAGACCCACCTGCGCTACTATGGACCCTGAGAGAGCGTTCCCCCCTAAATCTAGAATCTCCAAGCTCGATGACAGTGCTGCCGCTGCAGTTGCTGCCGTGGTGGTTGGGAGGACCTCTCCCGTGAGGTTGTTCCCGCGGAGGGAGAGCTCTCGCAGCGAGGGGAGGGCGAAGAGGGCGGGGGGGATGGAGCCGGAGAGGTGGCGGTTGGAGGAGAGGTCGAGAGTGACGAGGTGAGAGAGGCGCGAGAGGGACGGCGGCAGGCCGCCGGAGAGGGCATGCCCGGAGATGTGTAAAGAGGTGAGGTGCGTCAGCTGCCCCACCGCCTCCGACAGACTCCCGCCCGCACTCGCACAGCTGTTCGAGCTGCCGCCAGGGAGGCCCTCCAGGAAGAACTGCACTTGGGGGGGAGGTCGCGGATCCGCGTCCGCGCATATCCTGTCTCCGTACTGGGTGTGTTCGCAATCGGGCGATTCTGGGACGAAGTTGGGGTGCAGGGTGACATAAGCATTGCCCAGCAGGTGCAATGTGTCCACGTGTCCGTCTGCTGTGCACCCCACGCCGTACCACGCACGCGTGCTGCTGCTGCTCGCGTCCCAGCTGCGCAGAATCTCCGCCCACGAGCTGCTTCCGCCGTCCGCAAACTCCGTTCCCCCCGCTGCTTCCCCCAGGAGCGCATCGCGCACCGCCAGCAGCGCCTCAGTCTCCGTAGCGGAGACCTGCACGCCAGGCGCCGGCGCGGGGATGTAACCCGCGCCCACGGTGCGCGCCATGCGCGCGCTGTTGTTGCTCACGCGCAGCCTGTCCCAGTCCTAACTCCAATCCTCCCGGCGCGTGTCAAACAGCGGCCCCGACAGCTCGTTAAAACCGGAGTCCCAAACAGCCCCAAAGTGCCTCAACCTTCCTAACTTTGAGAAGGGGTGACGCAGTAGGTACGACTCACTTCGCAAATCGGGGGGACAATTTTCGTCACGCGAAACTACTGTTCTAGCGAGGACGAAAGCAGTGAAGATTTCGCCAACAAATTTGAAGCCCGTCCGAAACTGTCTGCGAACCAGTTCTGATGTTGCATTCCAGATCTGGTTATTTTCGCGAAATTTTCTTCCTTTACGACCCCAGACCACCAATTTCGACACCACCCTAGCTCGCGAGCCAGTCACCTTTCTCTCCCCTTTCAACCTTCCTAACTTAGAAACTCTTGGACCTCCGGTTTTAAACCGCAGGTCCGCGAGCGAGAAGCCGCCGCTGAAAATCGCCTCGGGAATACCGCCCGAGAAGTTGTTATGCGACAGGTCCAAGACCCTAGTCGGAAGCACCGTGAAAGCCTTCAGGCTGCCCGAGAGGTTGTTGTAGCTCAGGTCGATCCGGATTATCCTACCCAAGCCGCCCATGGATGGCTTGCGCCCCGACTGCGCGTTTGTCGCGAGGAACAGGTCGGACGGAACGCTCCCCCGCAGCCCCGCGTGCGGCGCGCTGAGAATCTCTAGCTTCGCAGGCAGCACGCAGCCGTGCAGAGAGCCCCCCCCTTCCTCCTCCTCACCTCCGCCGCCCCCGTCGCCGCCGCCAGTGGCGCTGGCGCTGCTCCCGGCGGTCGCGCCGCCCAGGTCGTTGAAGCCCAGCCAAAGTTCGCGCGGGGGCAGCAGAGCGTTGCAGAACGGCCCAGTGAGTACGTTGTTGTTGAGCCGCACTTCGTCGAGCGCCTTGAGCGACTAGGAGTCGAGCAGTTCTGCGGGCACTGCGCCGGACAGACGGTTCCCCCCCAGGTCGAGTTTCCGCAGCACCGTCATCTCCGCCAGCGCGGGCGGAATGGCGCCGGATAGGCTGTTGTTGCGCAGGATGAGCGCGGTAATGCTCCGCGAATACGCGCCCGCCTCCCCCGGGAGTTCCCCCGCGATGTTGTTGCTCTGCAGGTCCAACCGACTCAGCGCGGGCGCGCGGAGAAGGGCGCGCGGAAGCTCCCCCGAGAGCGCATTGCCATACAGGATTACCGTTTCCAGCGACGGGGAGTACGCGTCGGGCTCGTCGGGAAGAGACCCTGAAAGACCTTCATTTTGAAATAGAAAGTACGGGTAGGGACTAATCGTGTTGAGATCCACGTGGCGGAGCGCGGGCAGGCGGAAAAGGCCTGGCGGAATGGGCTCGGAGAAGTTGTTTTCGGGCATTTCAAACATCTTCAGCTTCTGGAGGCGCGTGACGGAGTCCGGCAAGTCGCCGGCGAGGCACGAATGGCGGAAGACCAGCGAGGAGAGCTCCGCAAGATCGCCAACGGCGGGCGACAGCGCGCCGGGCGGACAGCTCCCCCTGCTCCCGCCAGGCCCGCCGCGCATGTCCCAGCGGCTCGGGTCGGAGAAGATGCGCGTGATGCGGCCGGCGGGCGTGCACCCGAGCGGGCACCAGAGGCGGCACGAGACACCAGCGGGCTTAGGCGCGACGCAGCAGTAGGAGACATTGTGGGTGTCGTCGAACAGCTTGTACTGCGGTATGCCGTCGTGCCAAAAGAACATCCCCTCGGGCAGCGCCGCGTACACCGCGCGCATGGCCTCCCGGTCCACCTCCGCTATCTCCGCGACGCACCCGTCGGGGATCGGCGAATCGGTGTAGGCGGCTTCCGCCTGGCGGAGGAGCGCGATGAGCGCGAGGAGGGCGATGAGGACAAGGCGCGACGGGACGGGGAGGAAGAATGGGAGGGCGCGAGGGAATGAGGCCATAATGCTGTGTGAGAATCTGGAAATGTGCGGATTAGAATGAGAGTGTACGATTGGAGAGGCGGAAATGGCACTAGAAGTATTTAGTCCCTACGTGGGGGCGAGGGGACGGGGAGGGGGAACGGGAGGGCGCGAGGGAATGGCGCCATATGTTGAGTGAGAATGGAAAGACTATCTGTGCGGATAAGATTGAGAGTGTACGATTGCGAAACGGAAATATCACTAGTAGTAGTATATAGTCCCTACTTGGGCAACAACTCGCGCACTACTGAGCCTTGTACGTGTATTGCTAGTACTAATGCCGGGCGTTGTTGCACGGATTTTCTGAGCGAGATCGAGGGAGGTCGAGTTTTTACTAGTGGTAGAGAGTACATGTGACGTTTGAGTACAGTAGCGGCATGATTGGGTTTTCCCCACGTTCGGATCGTTGACTTCGTTGACGGGAGGTCAGGAGCGTCTAAGGCCGAGGACGGTCGAGCTGAAGCAGAATGGCGGAAGGGGTGCGCGCGGAGTACGAGGCGCGTTCTGACCCGGCGCCTGCTGCGGTAATGAACAGCCATAGGAACAGCGGGTACTGTCACGGCGCGATTGCAACCGCTAACAAGCACAAGGGGAGGCGTGAAGAGGGGCATGGCTGTACACTACAGTGTGTACCATGAGTGGTGGTTGTACTGCTTAGTGTTAATTGCCAGCAAAGAGCCTGAGTAGTTACTGGTGAGTCCAGCTAGGCGAAAGCGGGAGACGTCGTTGTGGCACAGACAACGAACTGAGAGTAGAGGTTTGTGTAAGAGGTGGTGTGAGAGCAGCGGTGAAGGCGGAAGACACGGCACGACTTGGAGAGAAAGCAGTGGAACGGGGAGTGCATGCGGAGGTGGGGCAGGGAACAAGGTCAGGCGGGAATCCAGGGGGGGCGCAGGGGGGGTGTGGTGGTGGTACGTAGGCAGTTGGCACTGATGGGATGGGGTGGGGTGGAGGGAGGGACGAATGGGTGAAGGCGGTTGGTTGTTGCTCGCTGGGCTGAATTCCCGTCGAGACGCATGTCGCATTCCAGGTGCCTTCTCCAGGTTTGGTTGTGCTGTACAGTGGCGCTGTTCTGTAGGCCTCCGCATTAAATGTACGGAACTTGTCCTTCCTTGTAGCTTCTGGCCGCACCAATGGCCTAATTTCTCAATTTGCTGGGAGGTGATGCCACGAAGCTCGCTCAAACTCTCGAATCTCACAAATTGCTGCCCTGCATAACTTGTACGCTGGCTGATGCTAGCTCTCGAGGCCGAATTGGCAGCGCACAAGTTATGCGGACATTTGCCTGGAGATGCAACACCGTGGAACCTTCACCCCGTTAAATTTGTGTGCCCCAAAAGTGGCGTTCTGCAGGCTGAAGCGTTAAATTTGGCGCAAAAAGGTTTGGCAGGACCGCGCTTATCACCAAACCTTGATAGGCAGAAGCGCGCTTATCGGGGAAGATTCTACGGACCCAGTTTCTGGCAATTTAACGCCTGCAGAACAACGCCATTACTTGAGACCTGCAGGATGCGGCAGTTCCGAGTCGCATGCCATCACGAGGTATATATTTATTATTGCAACAGCGGAATGTGTATTTAACTCGGTCCACTATATACATGCATATCAGCTGTGCAACAAACACCAACAAACACCAACAAACACCAAAAAAAAAAAAAACAAGAGGCGACGAATTCGTCTTAGGGTTGCGAAGCGTTTTGCGTAATTATATAAATTTGTACAACTTCTAATTCTGTACAATATGCTGTAGTATGACACTAAGTGGTACTTCCTCTCACCAGGCAAAGATCAAAATTACCGACTGAGTGAGAATCGAACTGGATATCTTTCGATTCAACCGTCAACCTTGTACGACTGCGACAGCACTGATGTCCATCTCGAATAGCTGAGTTAATTGCACATTAAAATTTGCGACGAATCTGAGACTACCTTAGGGTTTGTTCGCCCTTTTTTTCTCCCGCTTCTCCTTCTCGCTCGTCACGCTCTACCAACTTCTCCACCTACTCTAACTGCAACTTAGGTAAGAAGATCCCTCAATTTTAACTCCAACTAAATTAGATGCCTATTAGATAGACTAACATTTAGTCATTCCGTATCCTAACCGTGTAAATGGATGAGTATTAGCGAGACTTAGTTGTTTAAACTTAGGTTCTCGGCCCTTTGTAAAGATTTCAGGTTCTCCTTCCTGCATAAGCTTGCATCTGTTTCTTCTATTCTTCATCCTTAAACTTTTCCTCTCGTCGGTTGCCTTTTCTTCATATTTGCATGTTTTAGTTCATTTTTTTCTCAACCTCGTCTTAGGTTGTACATAAAGATTGTAATAGGTTGCACGTTCAGTCCATTTCGTTCTCTCTCGCTCGTTCTCTCTCTCCCGTTCTCTCTCTCCCGTTCTCTCTCTCCCGTTCTCTCTCGCTCGTTCTCTCTCTCCCATTCTCTCTCCCGTTCTCTCTCGCTCGTTCTCTCTCTCCCGTTCTCTCTCTCTCGTTCTCTCTCTCCCGTTCTCTCTCTCCCGTTCTCTCTCTCTCGCTCTCTCTCTCTCGTTCTCTCTCTCGTTCTCTTTCTCGTTCTCTCTCGTTTTCTTTCTCTCTCGATCTCTCTCTCTCGTTCTCTCTCTCTCTCGTTCTCTCGTTCTCCCTCGCTCTCTCGTTCTCTCTCTCTCGTTCTCTCTCTCTCGTTCTCTCTCTCTCGTTCTCTCTCTCTCGTTCTCTCTCTCGCGTTCTCTCTCTCGATCTCTCTCTCTCGTTCTCTCTCTCGTTCGTTCTCTCTCTCTCGTTCTCTCCCTCTCGTTCTCTCTCTCTCGTTCGTTCTCTCCTCGTTCGTCCTCTCTCTCTCGTCCTCTCTCTCGTTCTCTCAGTCTTGCTCTCTCTCTCTCTCTCTCTCTCTCTCTCTCTCTCTCTCTCTCTCTCTCTCTCTCTCTCTCTCTCGTTCTCTCTCTCTCTCTCCCGCTCTCTCTCTCTCGTTCTCTCTCTCTCTCTCTCTCTCTCTCTCTCTCTCTCTCTCTCTCTCTCTCTAGTTATCTCTCTCTCGCTCTCTCTCGTTACAGCCATTCTCTTCATTCTATTTTAAACTTCAATTCTTAATATCACATCTTTCTTCTTGCATTCGATGCTTCTTTTTTGTTATCGCAGATACTCGCTTTTAGGCAGGATGGATATGAAGGGAGGGAGTGTCGTACCACTTACAGTTCATTTTTTTTAGTTCCTTTAATTATGAGTTATTGTTTGATTTGTGTCATTTCTGTTTGTATTATGCTTCTTCTCGTTGCAATTTTAATGCATATCTGCATTTTTCAAAAATATATCTTGCCGATCATCGTCACAAAAGGTTGAGTGGTCCACCACTATGACAGTGAAGCCATTTTCAGCTGGACTTGATCGGTTTAGATATTTTTTTGGGATATGCAGTTTGTATTGCTTTATTACAGTAGCTGTTTTTTTCAACCCTTATATTGCTGACTTCCCCGACATGCTAGGCGGGGGAAGCGGTAGTATAAATTTAAAACTTGAAATAGTCATCAATTCGTTTGATGAATATGAGAAATGCAATTATCGTTTGGTCGGTCATTGCAGTTCTCCACAGATTCTCACATTTCTAAATCATGCGCGTTACAAAAGAACCATGTAGAGTAGCAATGTCCAGCAATTGACCAGAAAGCTGTAAACAAGTACGGTATGATCGTTATGAAAAGATTGTCAAATTTATTATGGTAGTACCCTAAACAAACTTTTTCCAGTTATTTTACATTTTTTTTTGTGAATTTTTTTTTGCTTTAGGTCGATTGCAATAGGTTGCTTCTCAACCCAAAAACATCAGAGTATGCCCCCTCGGATAGTAAGGTACAACAAAAGAATGAAATGCAATTACTTTATTTTGTCATTGTATTTTCTCACAAATATAGGTAAGCAGGGTGACAAGTTTTTGTTACCGTAGTTTGGTTTGATTTTTCAAGAATAATTAATTCTTGAAAAAAAAAATCAGCTCCGATCGATTGCAATAGGTTGCTCCGCAACCCAAAAAAAAAATCTTAGCCTCCGTCTCGGAGTTAATAACAGTGTCATACGGATAGAAGCCTCCAAAACAGCAAAAAAATATTTTAAGTTCAATCTAATTACTGTACAAGCAGGGGAAAAAAAGATATAAGCACATTTATGGTTTACAGGTAAGCATATTTATGGAACATATAACAGTAGACGCCTAACACAGAAGCTGCGCAGAGTCCTCTTGCCTCCCCACGCCCTACACGCGACCCTTCCTGGGCTTGGAAGAGCGCTTCTTGCACTTAGGCAGGGGTTTCCCACAGAGCTTGGGGTTGCCGGGGCGGAAGCAGGAGGTGGGCACGTCGGAGAGAGAGGGGGGGACGGAGCCAGAGAGCGCGTTGCCAGCGAGGTGCACTTGCAGGGAGGGGGCAGCAGCACGCAGGCACGCAGGGATGGTGCCTGACAGCCCACTCCACGACACGTCCAGCTCCTGCAGGGCCGTCAGCGATGCCAGCCCTGCAGGGATGCTGCCGCTCATGCGGTTGCGCACCGCTACTAAGGAGTGCAGAGCGGTGAAGCGCGAGAGTGACGAGGGGAGCGAGCCGGAGAGCTGGTTGGTGGAGACGTTGAGGGAGAGGAGGGAGGAGGCGCAGGAGGAGGAGGAGGGGAGGAGGGAGGAGAGGGGGCCGGAGAAAGCGTTGGAGGAGAGGAGGAGAGAGGCGAGGCGCTGCTTGCCCTGGCAGAAGGCAGGCAGGGAGCCTTTGAGCTTATTGCGTGAGAGGTCCTGATGGGTGAGGGGGGGGAGAGCAGCGAGGGAGCGGGGCAGCGAGCCTGAGAGGAGGTTCTTGGAGAGATCCAAGTGGGATAGGGCTGTGAGACCGGTGACAAGAGCATCGGAGATGCTTCCAGTAAGCTTGTTGGACGAGAGGTCCAAGGAGGCGAGGGGGAGGCGGGAGGTGATATCGAGCTGGGGAATGGTACCAGTCAGCTGGTTGTGCGACAGATCGAGTGTCTTCAAGTCCAGTTTGTTGATGGCGGGAATTGAACCTCTAAGCAGGTTGTGTGAGAGGTCCAACTCGTGCGTCACTCTGTCCCCCAGGAGGGGAGCAGGGATGGGTCCCGACAGCAGGTTGTGCGACAGACGCAGCACCGTCGAGTAGAACCCCTTTGATAAGTTTCCGAAAAGGTCCTGCAGCGGGGCACTGATGCGGTTGTGCGAGAGGTCCAGATAGTCAGCGTGCCAAGAGGCGTTGCCGCCGGGGCCCCACGTGAGGTGGTTGTTTGAGAAATTCAGCGTGTGGATTTCTTGATCGCGAGGGAAGAACGTGGCTGCGTCGCCCGAGAGCTGATTGTTGCTGACGTCCAGACGGGTCAGCAGCGGGAACACCCCGCGGAGACCCCACAAGACAGGCGCACGGGAGGCAGCAGAGTCGGCGGGAGCAGAAGGGGGAGTGGGGAAGGCGGCAGCGAGTGCAGAGACGTCCCCCCGGAGGGCGTTCCCCTGCAGCTGCAGGTCTCGGAGCATCCAGAGCGCGCCGAGCTCCCTTGGCAAGCTGCCGTCCAGCCGGTTGTGGTCCAGTGCCAGTCGCGTCAGCCCCGTCAGAAGACCCACCTGCGCTGCTATGGACTCTGAGAGAGCGTTCCCCCCCACGTCTAGACTCTCCAAACTCGCTGGCAGTGGCGCTGCTGCTGCTGCTGCTGCTCCTGCAGTGGCGGTTGGGAGGACCTCTCCCGTAAGGTTGTTCCCGCGGAGGGAGAGCTCTCGCAGCGAGGGGAGGGCGAAGAGGGCGGGGGGGATGGAGCCGGAGAGGTGGCGGTTGGAGGAGAGGTCGAGAGCGACGAGGTGTGAGAGGCGTGAGAGGGACGGTGGCAGGCCGCCGGAGAGGACGTGCCCGGAGATGCGTAGCGAGGTGAGGTGCGTCAGCTGCCCCAACGCCTCCGACAGACTCCCACTCGCACTCGCACTGCTGCTGCTGCCGCTCCCACTCCCGCCAGACATGCCCTGCAGGAAGAAGCGCACGCTATCAGGAGGTAACGGACGGTTGAGGTTGCATGACGGCAAGCTCAACGCGTATTCGCTCTGCTCGTATTCACAGTCGGGCATTTCTGTCACCACGTGGGGTTGCATCGTGACGTTGATGTTGCCCTCCAGGTGGAGAGTGTCCACGTGTCCGTCTGCTGTGCATCCCACGCCGTACCAGGCACAAGCGCTGCTGTTGCTCGTGTCCCAGCTGCGCAGTATCTCCGCCCACGAGCCGTTTCCGCCGTTCACTAACCCCGCTACCCCCGCTGCTCCCCCGGCTGCTTCCCCAACTGTTTGCCCCAGGAGCGCATCGCGCACCGCCAGTAGCGCAGCAGTCTCAGCAGCGGACGCCTGCACGCCAGGCGCCTGGGGGGGAAGGTACCCCGCGCCCACGGCGCCCGCCATGCGCGCGCTGTTGTTGCTCACGCGCAGCACGTCCCAATCATATACCCATAGTAGAGACCGCGAATCCCAGCGCGCGTCGAACAGCGGACCCCGCAGGTCGTTAAACCGCAGGTCCACGCACGAGAAGTCGCTGAAAAACGCCTCAGGAATACCTCCGGAAAAGTAGTTATGCGACAGGTCGAATAGACCAGTCGGAAGCACCGTGAAAGCTTTCAGGCTGCCCGAGAGGCTGTTGTGGCTCAGGTCCATGTAGATAGTCCACTTCCCACGGACATGCGCCCCGCCGTCGGGTTTGTCGCGAGGAACAGGTCGGGCGGAACGCTCCCCCAGAGACCCGCGTGCGGCGCGCTGAGTCTCTCTAGCTTCGCGGGAAGCACGCAGCCGAGCAGAGAGCCCCCCCCTTCCTCCTCACCTCTGCCGCCGCTCGCGCTGGCGCTGCTCCTGGCGCTCGCACCCCCGAAGTCGTTGAAGCCCAGCAAGAGCTCGCGCGCCGGCAGCAGCGCGTCGCAGAACGGCCCGGTGAGCGCGTTGCCGTCGAGCCGCACCTCGTCGAGCGCCTTGAGCGACTCGGAGTCGCGCAGCGCCGCGGGCACCGCGCCGGATAGACGGTTCTCCCCCAGGTCGAGTTTCTGCAGCGCCGTCATCTCCGCCAGCGCGGCCGATATGGCGCCGGATAGGCTGTTGTTGCGCAGGATGAGCTGAATGATGCTCCGCGAATACGCGCCCGCCTCCCCCGGGAGTTCCCCCGTGATGTTGTTGCTCTCCAGGTCTAGAAGGCGCAGCGCAGACGCGCGGAGAAGGGCGCGCGGAAGCTCCCCCGAGAGCGCGTTGCCAGACAAAAAGACCACTTCCAGCGACAGGGAGTACGCGTCGGGCCCGTCGGGCAGGGACCCCGACAGACCTGTATATTGAAGTTGATATTCCGGCCAGTCACTGTGTATGCTCAGATCCACGTGGCGGAGCGCGGGCAGGCGGAAAAGGCCTGGCGGAATGGGCCCGGTGAAGTTGTTTTCGGGCATTTCAAATATCGTCAGCTTCTGGAGGCGCGTGACGGAGTCCGGCAAGTCGCCGCCGAGGCACGAGTGGCGGAAAACAAGCGACGAGAGCTCCGCGAGATCGCCAATGGCGGGCGAAAGCGCGCCGGGCGGGCAGCTCCCTCCGCTCCCGGTGGGCCCGGGCATGTCCTGGCGGCTCGGGTCGGAAAAAATGTCCGTTATGCGACCGGCGGGCGTGCACTCGAGCGGGCACGAGAGGCGGCACGACACACCAGCGGGCTTGGGCGCGACGCAGCAGTAAGAGACGTTGTGGTTGTCGTCAAACATCTTGTACTGCGGTATGCCGTCGTGCCAGAAGAACATCAGCTCCGGCAGAGCCGCGTAATCCGTGCGCATGGCCTCCCGGTCCTCCTCCGCTATCTCCGCGACGCATCCGTCGGGGATCGGCGGCTCTGTGTAGGCTTCCGCCTGGCGGAGGAGCGCGATGAGCGCGAGGAGGGCGATGAGGGTAAGGCGCGAGGGGACGAGGAGGGGGAACGGGAGGGCGCGAGGGAATGACGACATTATGTCGTGTGAGAATCTGGAAAGACTATCGGTGCGGATAAGAATGAGAGTGTGCAATTGGAGAAGCGGAAATATCATTACAAGCATTTAGTCCATGATACGTGGACGAAAACTCGAGCACTACTGGCGCTTGTCACATAACTGGTGTTGTTGCACGGATTTCGTGGTCGAGTATATAGTAGGAGTAAAAGTAGTAGTACCTGGGACGTTGAGTTGCGGCATGATCGGGTTTTCCCCACGTTCGGAACGTTGACTTTTGTTGACGGGAGGTCAGGAGGGTCGAAGGCGGAGGAGGGTTGCTTGCGGAAGCAGATTGGCGGAGGGGGTGCGCGAGGAGTACGAGGCGCGTTTTGACATGGAGCCTGCTGCGCGAATGAACAGCCTTGTAGTAACAACGGGTACTGTTACGGCGCGCTTGCAGCCGCCAACAAGCGTGAGAAGGGGCATTAGTGGTTCAACCAAGTCACTACAGTGTGTGTGTGTACCATGAGTGGTTATTGCCTGCGACGTCCCAGAATAGTTTCCAGTGAGTCCAGCTAGGCGAAGGCGAGAATTTTACGACATCGTCGTCGCGTGACGACGTCGTAAAACAGGCACAAACGTATCGAGCGGAGAGGGTTTTGTTAGGTGTGAGCATCAGCGAAGGCGGAAGACACGGCACGACTTGGAGAGAAAGCAATGGAACGGGAAAGTGGGGGGGGGGATCAGAGTCGGGCGGGTCTGGGGATGGAGGAAGTGGTTGATAGTGATAGTGGCAATTGCACTGGTGGGGTGGGGTGGGGTGGGCTGAAGTGGTCTGGAGGGAGGGACGAATGGGTGAAGGTGGTTGGTTGTTGGTGGCTGGATTAAATTTCCGCCGAGACGCATGTCGCATTTCAGGTGTCTTCCCAGGCCCGGTTGTGTTGCAGTCTGTCCTTTTTTTTTTTTTTTTTGGGTTGCGAAGCAACCTATTACGATCGATTTGGCCAGTTTTTTTTTTTTTCACATTCTCACATTTTATTTATTTTAAATAAAATATGAAAATCAAAAACAAAAAAAATCGGATGCATTAATTGCTAGTTATGTAACATGTAGGAGGTCCTGTCTAGTAAAAATTATACTAGCGTGATGGTAGTGACTTTTTGGACAACTATGTTGTTTTTGCGATTTATTTTGTTGTGCTTTACAGCATATAATATGCATATGAAAAAATGAATGTAATGATCGGTGAATGTAGATGAATAAAATGATATTACATAAAATGCGATATATTGTGTAATATATGATATGATAAATGATAAATACATGTCTTAAGTTTGATATGAATAATGATTAGTTACTGACAATCCATGATGCATATATATAATGATAAAGATGCGTGAAAGCTAACGACCCAAAAACTATGCTACCGCATCCTCCGCCTAGCAAGTTGAGGAACTGATAGCATAATGTTTGAACAATCAGCAGTCACATGAAACAACACAATCTGTGAACTCCAAAAAAATGGTCAACTCTATCATCTCCAGTTCAAGTGGGCTCCCGACAGGCGCGCCAATGAACCTTTGGGTAAAAATGATAGAGTCGATTCACCTTTTTAAAACCCACAGACATGCATTGTTAATGAAATGATGGATGAATGAACACTCACACAAGCCAACACATTCACAACAACCAAACGCATGCACAGCAAAATGTCAAACTCATATGCTATAGTCTGTGTAGGCTGTAGTGGGGTAGACAATATGGGGTACAACACTTTTCGGTTTTCCTACTTGTACCCACCTGCTTGCTAGTTCATTCATTCCTCGTTCTTTCACATGGTATAGAGCAGGTTCCCTAGTGGGAACGTTTCCTAGGGCCCACCGAATATCGATTTTTTTTTTCCTGCCCGGATCGCGCTTCGCCCCTGCCCGAGTCGCGCCCCGTGTGCCTACCCTCCCGTCGCGTCCCCTGCCCTTGGTGGCCCGTCGCGCTCCCCTACGGCCCCGTAGCGGCCCCTCTCACGGCCTCTCACGACCCCTCTCACGGCCCTTCGCGGCCCCTTCAGGCCCCTCGTGGCCCCTTCGCGGCCTCCCTTCGCGGCCCCTTCGCGGCCCCTTCACGGCCCCTTCACGGCCCCTTCGCGGCACCTTCGCGGCCCCTTCGCGGCCCCCTCACGGCCCCTTCACGGCACCTTCGCGGCCCCTTCGCGGCCCCTTCACGGCCCCTTCGCGGCCCCTTCACGTCCCCTTCGCGGCACCTTCACGGCCCCCTCGCGGCCCCCTCGCGGCCCCTTCACGGCCCCCTCGCGGCCCCCTCGCGGCTCCCTTCGCGGCCCCGCCCCGCTGCCCGTAGCGGCCCCGCCCCATCGCCAGTCGCGGCCTCGCCCCGTCGGGCGTTTGTCCGCGACTTTTCTGCGGACAAGCTGTCCCCCCGTGCTGTTCCCTGCGTCTTCCTTGGCTTCCCCCCTGACGCGCCTGGTTGGCAGTTTTACCACCCCACCTCGCGCTGTGTTCTGTCCTCCCAGGACGTCACCTTTGACGAGTCGGTTCCTTACTACCGTCTCTTCCCCTACCGCACTGCGCCCCTCCCCCCGCCGCCGCCGCTCTTCCTTGCGCCAGGTCCCCCCCCGGTAGACCCCCTCCACCCTCAGGGTCCTGCCCCGTCAGGTGTGTCCCAGGTAGACGCAGTCGAGCCTGTCGAGGTAGCTGTTGACTCTGGTGCTGCTAGGGGTGTTGAGCCTGCGGGTGCTGAGTCTAGGGGTGCTGAGCCTGGGGGTGCTGAGTCTGGGGGTGCTGAGCCTGGGGGTGCGGAGCCTGGGGGTGCGGAGCCTGGGAGTGCAGAGCCTGGGGGTACGGAGCCTGGGGGTGCTGAGCCTGGGGGTGCGGAGCCTGGGGGTGCTGGGTCTGCTCGTGTGGCCTCTGGCGGTGCTTCGTCGAGGCGGGAGCCCCCCTCTCCGCAGGAGCTGCGCGAGTGGTTTGCCCGGTGCTAGAGCCGTGCTGCTGGAGCTGGAGGTGCTACGGTTGCTGCTGACCCTGGAGTCGGCACTGGAGTTACTGGAGCCAATGGTCTTGGAGGTGCTCGTACTGGCGGTACTGGAGCTGCTGGGACTGGGGATGCTACTGGGGCTGCTGGAGTTGGTCCTGCTGGAGGTGCCGCTGGAGCTGCTGGCGGTTCTGGAGCTGGCGGTCCTGCTGGAGTTGGTGCTGCTGAAGCTGCTGGAGCTGGAGCTGCTGGGGGTGTTGGCGCTGGAGGTGCTGCTGGCGCTGGTGCTTCTGAGGGTGCTGGAGTTGGCGCTGTTGGAGCTGGAGGTGCTGCTGGCGTTGGTGCTGCCGCTGGGGGTACTGGTGCTGTCCCTGCTGGTTCTGGAGGCGCTGCGCGGCCGCGGCCGTACTTCGTTCCGCTCCTTGAGCAGGTTCTTGGTCTCCCGCCCTCTACTGGTCCTGCTCCTCCCTTAGAGTGTCCACAGCCTGTCCAGTCGCGGTCACAGTTACAGCCCGCCTCCCCCCTACCTGCTCCTTCTCCCTACACTGGTCCTACTGGAGGTCTTGCTGAGCGTCGTGAGCCTGCGTCTCGTCCTGCGTCGCCTGTTCGTGCTGCTCGCACTAGTAGTCGTGCTCCGCGTCCGCGTCCTCCTGCGGTCCCAGGCACACACCAGATGGCACTGCGTCCTTCCACTGCTCCTCTGCGTGTCCCGTTGCCGTCTCCTCCAGAGTCCTCTCTTCCTGTTCTTGCTGACCCGGAGTCTGACTCTCTTCGTGCTGCCAGTCCTACTGTCACGCGTCTCCTGGCTACTGTTGTCACTGACCCTTCCTTTGAGTCCACTGCTGCGTCTGCCTTGGTTGCTGAGCTTGTCGACTTCGCTGCTCGCTGTCGTCTACACTACGCCGCTAGTCTTGTTGCTGAGTCTGAGTCTGTCTGTCCTCCGTCCGTCGGGGGTGGGTGTGCTCTTAGCACGGACGTCCTTGAGGACAGGCAGGAGGAGTTCCAGTGTTTTGCTGCTGCTTTGCCTCATCTCGTGTCCACGCTGATTGCCCCTGAGCGAGACCCGGATGCACCAGACATCCCGACTCCTCGATTGTACGCTGAGGCGATCGAGGGTCCCTACTCCTCACAGTGGCAGTCATCCATGGACGCAGAGATGGCTTCCTGGAAGTCCACAGGCACCTACGTCGACGAGGTTCCCCCACCTGGGGCGAACATCGTCAGTGGCATGTGGATTTTCAGGGTGAAGCGGCCGCCGGGTTCTCCGCCTGTCTTCAAGGCGCGTTACGTGGCTCGAGGCTTCAGTCAGCGGCAGGGAGTTGACTACTTTCAGACCTTCTCTCCCACCCCGAAGATGACCACTCTTCGGGTGCTACTGCACATAGCCGCTCAGCGCGACTACGAGCTTCACTCTCTTGACTTCAGCACAGCTTTCCTGCAGGGCAGCCTGCACGAGGAGATCTGGCTGCGCCGCCCACCTGGCTTCACTGGGTCGTTTCCTCCTGGTACCCAGTGGAGCCTCCGGCGGCCAGTCTACGGTCTCCGCCAGGCGCCCCGTGAGTGGCACGACACACTGAGGACTACACTTGCGGCTCTTGGGTTTGCTCCTTCTACTGCCGACTCGTCGCTGTTTCTGCGCACCGACACCTCTTTGCCGCCGTTCTACATCCTCGTGTACGTCGACGACTTGGTCTTTGCCACTGCTGACACTGCTGGACTCGCCCACGTGAAGTCCGAGCTGCAGAAGAGACACACGTGCACAGACCTGGGTGAACTGCGCAGCTACCTTGGCTTGCAGATCACCCGGGACAGAGCACAGCGCACCATTACCCTGACTCAGTCACACATGGTGCAGCAGGTCCTTCAGCGCTTCGACTTCATGTACTCCTCGCCTCAGGCCACTCCTCTGTCTACTCGCCACTCGCTCTCAGCTCTGCCTTCGGATGAGTCCGTAGAGCCGAGTGGCCCGTACCCAGAGCTTGTTGGCTGCCTCATGTACCTTATGACCTGCACACGACCTGACCTTGCATACCCTCTTAGAATCTTGGCACGCTATGTTGCTCCTGGGAGACACCGACCAGAGCACATGGCTGCAGCGAAGAGGGTGTTGCGCTACTTGTGCAGTACGTCGGGCATGGGGCTAG